TCAACTTCTTTGGTCGACCATGGTGAGGTTTGTTCTGAGTGGAACCTGTCCTGTTAAACTGCTGTATGGTCTTGGCCACCGTGCTGCAGCTCAGTTTCAGGGTGTTGGCAATATTCTTATAGCCTAGGCCATCTTTATGTAAAATAACAATTCTTTTTTTCGGATCCCCAGAGAGTTCTTTGCCACGTTGAACTACTAATGACCAGTATGAGAGTGATAACATGGAATTTAACACACCTGCTCCCCAGTGAGACTTTGTAACACTAACGATTCACATGACAATTAGGGAGGGAAAACTCGTGCTAATTGGGCACAATTTGGACATTTTCCCTCAGGGGTGTCCCCACTTTTGTTGCCAGTGGTTCAGACATTAATGCCTGTGTGTTGGAACATCAGATTTACACTATTCTACAAGCTGTACACTGATTACTTTACATTGTATCAGAGGGTTATCCCTTGAAAAGACATAATAAAAATATTTCCAAAAAGTGAGGGGTGTACTCACTTTTGTGAGATACTGTAGAGCTCTTAATATATGCAAGGTAATAATACTGAACTGCTCACCAGTCGAGCTGACCGGCGGGCCTCCTGTTTGATGTCCTCCACCAGGAAACCGAAGATGCCTTCGTCTTCCTCTCCTCGCTGATAAACTCCACAAGATGTTAGCTGAGACAAACACATGCTTACAATATTATTAAGACACACTCTTAACAAACAGACCCTTTTAAAGCATTTTTAATCTAAGAAAATACATCATTGTCACTTTATTTGTGGGACAGAAAAATACAAACCATGAGCCCTCTTGTTCTGTGGTGACTGTGCTCCCTCCTCTAATATTTACCTCCAAATAAATTCACTTAAATCATAATGAGGTCATAGAATAAATCATTTCCTTCTTTGTTTGCTTGTTTTATTTATTTATTTTTATATTCGATTGTGACTTGGTTTGTACAAGTCTTTCAGAAAGAATATTTTTAATGCTATAACTGTTGGTCAGGCACTTGTAAAGCAAGTCTCAATAAAATATGACTGCTTGAAGGCTGAAAAATACATATTCCTGTGAAAACAGAAATACTTGCAGGCGTTGTCTTACCAAGCAGAAGTAGTGGACAGAGAGTTTATGTTCTTTGAGTGTGACTTTCTCCCCAAACATGGCTGGGTCATCATCACTGCACCTACACAAAGCACAGCCTGCAGATACACACAAAATATGCAAACCTTCATTCAACTAAAAAAGCTTTCTCAAGGCCCTAAAAGACATCATCATAAACACTCATTAAGGTTTTAACGTATGTAAGGAGAAATGTGAAGATATAGCTTTAGTTGCTGATTTTCTTTTTTTTAACAGTAAGAGCACTATATCTAAAACCACAGCGCCAACACAACAGAGCTGAAAAGTCAAGCCTAACACACAACACACAGTGGCTGGAATTAGCAGTCAAAAGGTGGTTTAAATACACATTTGTCAACAAAAAAAAACAGCAGCAGGAGATATTGACTTCCAACTGTGTGTGAAAGTCACTCACACTCCTCCTGGACACTGTTTGTGTGTGTCTCCTGCGACCTCCTTGCCTTCTTCTTCATGTTTGTGTGAACCAACCCTGCAGGAAAATGAAAGACCACATTTACTGAGCTTTTACAAACACTGTCATCACAACATGCTCACTACACAACGCAGTGGGTTATTGAACAAATGCTTCCAACCTGACCATATTTGACTTCCCTGAAAAGAATTCCAGGTTGACGATAAACTCCTAAGCTTTCTCATTTTTACTAGTTTTTTCATAAAAATGGTTTGGAATGAATCTAGAGACATATTCTAGCCCCAAATACCTGTGACTGTACGGTCATTAAACTGAAAGTGAAGCTAAAGTTCAACATAAAATTTAGAGCTCAAATTTGTTTAAGCTCTAAGAGTAAGGCCTGCACCACTTGCACATATGCAGATATTTCAAGCAAAGTCATTATGATATTACAAAAATTACATTATATAACAAGAACGATTTGACTCATCACAAAATATATTTTTTAATTAAACAAATAAGAGTAGAAAGTTAAAAGAAAACTCCCCCTCAGCGTAAACTTTAACAATAAAATACATTTAGAATGTCTGAGGATTGAAGAGACAACACTATTTATTTTAACGTAATGTATCCTTTAGCATTCATGGTGCCTTTACGGATGTAATAGCTTAAAAAACAAAGTGAGGTGCTTTCGTGCTCTTTCTTTGTTACCTGGGAGGACATGCCTACAGTTGCTCCTACATTTCCAAAAAATATGTCACGTTTTTATTAGTCAGGCAAAAGGACTGTTTTATCCATTTCACTTCAGCAACCATCCTGGTGTCAACTCCAGGCAATTATTTAGGCAGAAATAATGCTCTTAAATTATTTAGGCAGCCTTTCAGATTAATCTGCATTTTTCATTTTTTATTCAGCCTGTTTGAAGCTTTTTTTTTTTTAAATACATATGGTTAAAATACTAATTGAATTGAACAAGCGTATATTTTTAGCAAAAATAATATTTTCTTTTGATTTTATTTACATTTTACAAAGAGGTCTCATTTTATTAGAAACAAGGTTGTATACCGGAAGTCACTGACGGCCTCTCATAAGGTTAATCGAGCCTGAAAGTCTTACAGTGATGTGTCGTTTTGTTTTGTTACACACACACACCGAAAAAAACAAAAACACATAATAATATCAGCTAAATAAAAATAAAAAACAACAACAATGAAAAGGTAATCTTTATGCCTGGAAAGATTCTTCTTTTGATATTTCCTTAACTACAACTAATATTAGTATTTAACTATAAAAGCATTCAAATTATTTTCTGTGGCAGCTCTAAAAGCTTCCGTTGTGCTAAGATCGACAGCTCTCTCTGTTAGACCTACAGTCGACCAAATGTTCCTAACATGATGCCTAACATTGCGTTATAGCTACTCCATTATACTCCTATCTGTAAACATTTAGTCGGAAAAATACAGTAAGTGCAAGAAGGAAAATAGGAGTTTGAACACGTTCAGCTGAGACGTTGACATCAAAGAAAGGCTCGGTTTCAAACGCAACCTAAACACTACAAAATGTTTCTCCGGTGACCTACTTTACATTCAGGGGCGAAGAGTGTTAGTTTGCGTCCATTTTCCTGTCGTTTTTTGAAGGCTTACTCCCAATGCTTTTGTTTATTTCCGACTAACACCGTCGAGTTTTTAAATTTCCCTCTTTCAAAACAAAAGAACCTTATTTCCGCTTCCGCCTCTTCTTCGTTTGCTTTAGAGGATTTTTCGCACTAGGTTCTCATTTGCCTACATGCGCGCCCCCTGATGGTTGGTGTTGATAATGCTCTCAATAATATTAAACATCTCAACAGATGGTGAAAAACTAAGATATGTGGAGGAAATAAATCCTGATTAAAAACAGTGTCTCCATAATATATACACAAACTACATTTTTAAGGTAGGTAAAGTTTTCAGAATTTTATTAAAATGAAACTTTGGTAATCATGATACACACTTGGTATTTCAAAATTAACATGAGTTAAAGGTTATGACTTTGACACATATCTCATTATTTGGACTTTTGAATAACAACAACAACAACAACAACAACAACAACAACAACAATAATAATAATAATAATAATATGGTTCTTAGCAGGCCTTAAAATTAGGTAAATGCAGCCTCAGATGAACTACAAAACATGACATAATACACAGTGTTATTATTTATTAATAAAAACTAAGCAAATATGCAGAAACAGTTTGTGAAAAAGCAAGTAAGTTAATAAGATTCAGTAACTTGAGGAACCACCTCTGCCAGTAATAAGTCACTTGAAGGTTGAAGATTTTTTGTCCAATTTTCTCCCACATCACTTGTCATCAACTTTTCTTTAAAAAATGTTGCTTCAATTCATTGATGTTTACAGATATTCCTTTATGAATAGCTCTCTTAATAACTCACTACAGTCTGGTTGATGTCTGGACTTTCACTGGCTGCAACACCGTGATATTTTTTTCTTTTTAGATTTGCTACTGTGCTTGGTCTAACTTTGCTACTGCATGATCCACTGAAAGGAAAGGTGTACACCCTTTTAAACTATACAATACCAGGAGCATCCAAAAAATAAATATCTCTAAAATGACAATTTCTGTTTTGGCCCTTGGCTATTTTAACTTCCAGCAATTTAATCCTTATAGAACACATATGCTGCGGTGGTTTTTCAATAATAGTGGGTGCTACAGGACAACATCTCCCTATAACAACAGCTCTATTTTCACATTATCATTCAAAAACTGTATTTACACAGTTTATCTTTGTTTATTACCATTATTATTAATAGTAGTAATAGTAGAAGTAATTTATGATCTGAAACATTTAAATGCGACAAATATTTTTAAAAAACTAACAAATCAAGAAGTAGGCAAATATTTTTTCATGGCACTATTTAACATATATTGTTGCACTTGTCTCACTTTCTTCGCTGTCCTAAGTTACTTTCCACCACTAAAGGACAGTTTAGTGGTGGAAAGTAACTTAGTATATTTACTTGATTACTGTCCTTTGAGTTTTTTTACTTCACAATAGTTTGATTGAAGTAACCGTATGTTGGTTTTAGCTACTTATCATTATACTTCTACTAATATATGTTACTGCATTATTACAGATTAAGCTTAAATTCATTAGAACCATCTCCTGTTGCTTTACTAAAGGAATAGAAACATTAATGAATCAGTATTATGATCTAATCGCTACTCTCATTTATATAAGTCTGCATAATGAGCACTTTTAGTTCAAGTTAAACCTTCCGTACTATTCCATCCGTGGCTTAATTAGGCTACAGTTAGTTTTTACTTACTTTCATGGCATACATCTGTATGAGGGCCTAAAAAACTATCCATGTGTTTAATGTCTGCACCGGATTTGTTTGTGAGCAAATATTCAGTTTTGCCGCTAGATGTGGCGAAAGCACTCCCGTGCTGTTGCTGAGCCTCCCGTGGTACCCTGTCAGAACATTCTTGAAATGTCCCCGTATGTGCGTTGTGTGTGTGTGTGTGTGAGAGAGAGTCTGTGTCGTCACGGGGCGAAGGGCGGTGCCCCCAGGTAAGCACATCAGCACCCTCCACATCACAAACACACGCCCAGAGCAGCACACAGAGGAGGCACAGTACTGAGAGTAGCCGAGACTCCCTGGAGCCAGACACACACTTCCCTCCGCTCAGGCTAAGGACGGAGCTCACAGAGAAGGAGGCAAAAACAGCCGCAATATTTGGAAACATCGAAACAAGGAAGTTGGATACAGAACACAGCGGGAAGCATGTTCAGCTGGGTCAAACAGGAGCAGGGTGGCAGCAACAAAGAAGGAGAGATGTACCAGACCGTTACGGAGGGACTGCAGACTCTTTACACCAAGAAGCTGCTGCCGCTGGAAGAGACCTATCTCTTCCATGACTTCCACTCCCCGGCCCTAGAGCCTGCTGACTTCCAGAGTAAACCCATGGTACTGCTGGTCGGCCAGTACTCCACTGGGAAAACCACCTTCATCAGGTACTGACCTACAACTGACTAGTGTTCTTGTCTGTGAAGAGGCTGGAAGGGCCGGAAATTGTACTAGATGTAGGGGGAAAAGCCCACCTCTATTTTTGTTGCATCACTTGAATGTTATTTGTTGGGACCTCGTGTCATATCTCGTTAAAATATCACAGTTGAAGACGCGTTTGATTTCATCTAAACTCGAAATATAATTGAAAGACAAACTCCGTGGGGATCCCAAATTTGTGCCGAAGTGACTTTTACTATCCTTTCTTTCTATACTGTGAAAAATATGTGGCATGCTATTGAAAACAACACATCTTAAGGCTCATGGGCATTGGGAGTGAGCTGTGGCATTATAAATGACAGGAAGCACACAAGTTAAATTCACAGCCGTGACTTATACAAACAGAGTGAGATTTCAACACTACCGTGCCTTCATCAGAGTCAGAGTGGACAAACACACAAGGAAAACACAGCCAACCCTTTGAATCTATTAGATAATGAATCGAAGTTTAAATTATTCTGTTCCACTATTTCAGAAACAGAGAAAAAAAATGACATGACCACCTCAGTTAAGTGCGATAGGCCAAAGTAAACATAATTGCTATGTAAGTGGGGTGACATCATATCAGGAACAGAACCAAAAATACAGTCTGCTTTTAAAGGTCATCAGGGTACAAAAATAATCACCAAACAAACCAAAAACCACATATAAGCATGTGTCATGGGCAAAACCTGCAGGAAACATGACAAGTCACCTTTTCATGTGCTATGTCACTGTGTTCAAAGTGAAAAGTCAATATTTCTGTCAGTGGTGCCATGAACTGCACTGCACTGCTGCTAGGAGATGATGGCATTTTTGGATTATCCCTTACCTCTCACTGGTAAAATGAAACAAACAGCAAGAGAAAAAAAAGTGTGCCTCTAAAAGATTTTAGGGAAGGGGAGAAACTAAGTCACCCTTAGAATTCAATTTCAAAATTAGATTTTGATTTTTTTTAAACCCTGAAACGATCTGAAATTTGATTTAAAGGTTCATGCAGCTGAGTAGGTAAATACAGGTAATTACACTGCCATCATGTTTATGTTTTGACACTGTGTGTGAATTCTATAACCTGCAATCATGGAATAAGGTAAAAGTTAACTGGAACAGTTCAGGATCCCTGCCAGTTTAGGTTCCTCCTTCAATATTGGACAATTGCTCAATAAATAATTTAGCTGCAAAAGAAATAATATGTAAGGGCCAGATTAAAAGTCTGTAGTTCTTTTCTTTATGGGCAAACTGACAGTAGAATTGTCCTGTTGCATAAACCTTAATAATACATTTTCAGTTTTCTGGTTAAACTTCCAGATGATTAGGTGTGAATAAAAAGGCAGCTTGGAGACCACGTGCTGATGGAGTGATTTTTATTACACTGGAAAGACTTCATGTGAAATTATGTCAATTTAAAGCCCTTCCATGTTCATGAAAAAGGCATGAACATGTATCATAGCAAATTGTAACATGTCAAACAAGTGAATGCAATCTCAGAGTGAATTCTGGTCACATAAAATCCAATCCAACTAGCAGGTCTATAGTTACAGGTTTAAAAAACATTTAAAAAATGTCTTTACTAAAAGAAGACTACAATTAATATTTATTTTCAGTCAAAGATGCAGGTCAACATTATCAGGGGAGTTTTCACTTCATACAAAGTTTTAATGGCTTTTGGAATTAAACCAAACTTCCTTCTGTGTGTCTTACCTGCTGCACCCCTGATAGCACTAGCTTAAACTAGCCATAGAGGGCCTTATGTGTGAGCTTGCTTTTAATCTTACCATGCCATTAATAAGAGTAGTTTAGTATTGAGCTGTGTGGGGACAATATTCCTTAAAAAAGCTCAGGAACCTGTTCTCTCTGTATGACCCAAGCTTTGCTGAGAATCAGAAACAGTTTCCAAAAGTAGCAGAGTCTCATTTTCCCATAATAGAAATGAATGTTGCAATTACCAAATAGATTGGCCAATTTTCCAAAGGAATTTTGCATTACTTCTTCTCTTTAGGGTTTTGACATATTTAATCTTAATGAGTTAATCACTAAGGTTGTAACAGTCTAACCACCTCTCGGATAAGCTGTTAGATTAGTTTCCATGAATTTGCAGCCGGGCTTCCTGCAGAAGAATTGAAAGTCCAACATGCACCTGCAGATTTTGTCACTGAAGGTCTCATGGTGTTTTTTTTTTTTGTATGTGTGAATGTGTCTGAGCCTTTTTCAGAACTTCATTGATGTAATGGAAACAAATAAGGCACATTCATAACTCTGAATGTGAATGATGAGTGAAAACAGTTGTTTTGGCAACAAGGCAGACCAGCAGATTTGACCTGCAATCCCTTCAAGTCTTACACAAGCTGCAGAGAAACTTTGGCAGTTAGTAATGTGTGTGTGTGTGTCTGTGGGGTAGGGGGTGGTGTGGGCACAACCGAAGCTCCACCTTGCGCCGGAATGCTCTGAATCATGGGAACATGTTGCCAGTAAATTGCCGAGTCAACATATTTTCTTCTTCTTCTTGTCTCACAAGGGTGAACTGAAACCCTGGCGTAAGCTGTGGCCCAGTGGGCGGCTCGATAGACACGAACAGGTCTTAGTGCATTCTGTTTGGACAGTAGTAGTAATCTGACCAAACCTGCATCTATGTTAATTGATGATAACTATTAGCATATTTTCTATAATGTATAATCCCACTAAAACTCACAATTTCCTAACTGAACACAAATGACCAAACAGTGTAACTGTTACACAGCTATAAGGAAATGCTTGGAGAAATGGGAAGATTATGGGTGGAAGCTCCAAAATCTCTGCATGAATGACAGAAGTAATTATTTCATAGGAAACTAAAGCCTAACAAAATAAGATTATAAACATCTCCAGGTGTCTTTGTGTGAAGAGTTGGGAATGCATTAATATCCATGAATGTTCAACCACTGCTGTAATATATTTGTCCACCTGTCCTTACAAATTAGTGAAGCAGCAGGCAACAATTACTTTTAGCCAAAATATGTCAGGTGTGCTAACGTGGGTCCTCGGCATTTTACCTGCCAAGTTTGAAGAACACTGTATGAGCGGTTGTCAAGAAAGGAGAAGAAAAGATATTTCTCACATTTTTCACAAGTTGCACAAAGATAAAAATGCACATAAACAACTACAATCAGAGTGGATCTTCCACAATTTTTCAAACTGCAGCTAGAGGTGGAAATTCTTGTGGATCAGCAGCTGAATGAAAACATGAGGGAAGATTATGACTAAACTGTAAGGCCACGTGACATGTAACATTAAAGGGGCTGTCGTTTCTGACATTTCAGTATAGGGGCATGCATGGTAGTTTTCCATCCTTGGGTCTTGCACACTCTTTGAAGTGTGCGCTGTCCACAAAGACAGGAGATGACGAGAAAGAGCCATCTTCCCTCTCTTCCTTCCTTTCTCACTTTTCTTTTATAAGGAAAAGCAAGTGGAAAAGTAGACAAGGTCAGTGTTGAGATGAAAGGAAAGGAAAAAGATTTATTTTCAAAGTCTGTGCAAACACAGCTGTTCCATTACAGAGATCAGAGCCCTGTGTGACTGAACCTCAGAAACTGGCCAATGGCCTGCTTTTGTGACAATAGATCTGGGATTTCCCTTGGCATCAAATTAAAAGTCAAACTGCTGTTTAAGTAATTAAGAATAGCTTTAACGATCAACTTAGCCCTTTTAGTCTCTTTTTTTTAAAGACTAAAAAGGTTAAAATGTGCTGTTTCAGAATCATAAATGTGTGATTATCTATTTCTTGTCTGTAACAAACCTGATCATAAACTGAATATTTTTCTTCTTAAACACCCAGTCAGTGATAATGGGTGAACAGTTTTGGGACAAATTTACATAGTGGTGTTGATGTCTGACCGATGTGAAGCTGATTTTCAATAGTTCATAATTAAATGTATCAAACATTGGGTTTCTCCCTGTTAGCCAGTAAACTCTGGCTTATTAATTAACCCAAGACCTAACAGTTTGAAAGCCTGACTATTAGCCTTGGAAAAGTCAAAAAACAGTTTTAGTTGTTACGTTAGAATGTTTTAGCACTTAGTTTCTATCTGATTTCAGAGACTTTTCATATGATTTTGTGCTCAGCTCTGACAAAGTAATTATTGTAGGTGATTTTAACATGCAGATGTTGAAAATGACAGTCTCATTAGATTCAAGTGGCTGATGAGGTTTAGAAGTATCACTATTATTTTCTACCATGTGCAAACGCAATGCAGAGCAGCTACCTAAACTTTACTCCCACAGAGGTAAATTATTTGATTATTGTGTTACGTCATCACTATATATGACCCTGGATTCTGTGGTTTTTTAAAAAGGAAGGCAACAAGTAAGACATGCTTGACTCCCTGCTATAACTCACAAATGTGCAGCTTAAAGCAGATAATCCATAAGCTGGAGAGGAAATGGCTTTGCACTCATTAAGAAGATCTTTGTTAGGCCTGAAAAAAATAGTACGATTTCCAAGCTTTACAGTTTTTGAAAAAATTGATTAACAATATATTTGTCATCGTTCAAGGAAAACAGTAACAATCCAGCTTTCTTCTCAGGACTGTAGCCCGACTGACACACAGTCAGAGCTCTGTTGGGCCAACCGTACTTTAACTTTCACAAATAAAATGTTAACCATTAAAACAATTTTTTGTCATAGGGTAAACACAGATGTATCATTATATACAGCGACGTCAGTAGCTGCTGATATTTACTTAGACTCTTCTTTCTAGCAATCATTGAGTTCATGGCAAAAAAGTCTTTCTCTAAAACATCATTGTGTCTTTTGGTCTAAAGTCTTGTAGGAATGGGGTCTCCATTCCTACAAGACTGCTAAAAGAAGTCTCATTAATTATTAATGTTTTTATTTAAGGTTGTGGTAATAAACCATTACTTAAAACACCCTTATTTGGTCCAGCTGTCTGAGCTAATTGTAGACTCATTTTTAACCTTCGTTTTATTTAAAAAAAATCTTGTGTTATGCAATCTTTTGGAAGGTGATATTATTGTGTGAACCACATGAGTTGTGTGTTCAACCACATGAAGTTTATGTTAGCCAACATATGCAGGATCTAACATGTGCATTCCATTCTCTTGCCCATGCTTTAGTTTCGGCCTGCACCACCCTAATCTTGCTCAATCCTGTTTTTTATTTTCAGTATAGTTACCTGTTGTATTTAAAAGCAAATTAAGCACTTTTTACATTATTACTCATTAAGAGCAGGATAATGTGCTGTGTTAATGTAACTGTTGTGACATAACATCCATAAAAGTCCTGGTCCCTTGTATCCTAATGTACTATCCAATTGTTAATTAACGATGGAACAACCTTTTTTCTGGGTGGAAGTTTTCAACTTTTTAATTCTTCCTTGTTTTTTAAGCCTCCAAAAACTTTTAGAGCCTTGATGTTTATAGATAAATACCTTTATTTTAATGTTTGAAAACTTAACAGAAACACCTCAGTGTACTCAATAAAACTTCAGAAAGTATTTCAGTTTGGACATTAGGCATGGTTTTGGCAAGGCACTGCTGACCCTAGTAGAATATTGTTATTGTAACACTGCTTTCTATTCACCCTTTTTTATGAAGCCTAAAACGGTGGGGGTACCCAGACTCTACTGAATGAAGGTGTCAAACAGAGCACGTCCAAGAAAAGTAAACCATTTGTGTGACTTGTGTATTTCATTTATTTTTCCATCTTATTGGACCTGTTTTTGGACCTGGATTTTCAACAATGATTTGACCGAGACATTCTAACAGATGTAGAACTTGATTGCAAATTTCTGGACTACACTAAAACAACGTTTTTTTCGAACACTCTTATTGTTGTAAGTATGGTAAGATCCTGAAAGTCGTTAAAGTTGAACTACATATATTCTGTCTTTGGCTCAGGTATCTACTGGAACAAGATTTCCCTGGGATGCGGATCGGTCCTGAGCCAACCACTGATGGCTTTATAGCAGTGATGCATGGTGAAAATGAGGGGGTTGTCCCAGGCAATGCTCTAGTCGTCGACCCCAAGAAACCCTTCAGGAAACTCAACGCGTTTGGAAACTCCTTCCTCAACAGGTAAAGGCATGCGCACATTAAAGAAGGAAAAACACAGCTTAAACAACCCTCAGTGTCCATCTAGATATGTTTATAAACCTGGAATTCAAAGAGGGTTTTAATATTTGATGTACAGTATTTTATGAGAAAATCGAGTTCCCTCAGATATAATTTTTATTTACCCCTCAGAGATCCAAGTCATTAAGGGCGGCAACCCAAACCTTAACCCTACCCTAAGACTAGGCCAGAACAGAACTATTATGTCAAGATGTGAATAGTTTTTTTATGTGTGTTTTGTTGTTTTCAAACTGTTTAAGCAAAACACCAACTATATATTCTGATTGCCTAGGGTTAGATTTAGGTTTGGGGTCATGATAGAGTAGACCTCAGAGGATTAAAAATCTCCATTTTTGGTGTCAGACCACAGACTGCGCAATATTACCCCATAAAACCAAAACACAGGGTACAAAAAACAGACCTTCGACATCCTACCTTACTATAAAATGATAAAAATGTAAGTTTTTAAGAAAACAAAATAAAACGTCGATGCACCCTTGCTGGTAAAGACTAGCTAGTCGGATCGTTAGCCAAGGCCATTTTTTTGTTTCTTTTCAATTTTGAAATTCTGTTTTGGTTCTCTGTTTGAGTGAAATTTGTTACAATAATTAAAAGCAAAATTTAATCATGAGAAAATTATGATTTATTTATTAAAGAGAATATGATGGAGAAACCCTTGTTGGCGAGCGGTGCGGTAAGCCCTTTAGTTTAGTTGGTCACCAGGTTTGTTCATATTTCAGGAGGGATTTTGGACCACTCCTCTTCTTGGTCTGATGGAGACCAAAACAAAGAATCAAGCAAAGCCAATCAAATAAAATGTAACTCAGACTGACTGATCTATAATAGCAACACACAAATCGACCAGTGGATCACTCCATATACTGAAGGGCTCTCAGGATGTTTGCCTGCTGATCTCCAGAACCATTAATCATTTTAATTGCTGGTCATTAGACTTAATTCCTTTTTTCATCATGCAGCTGAGGTCATCGATGAAATACAGTACAACTGAGAAAACTGGTGATTTCTCCTGATGGAGAGAGACTGAGGAGTATGGAACAACAGATCTATAGACTTCTTAGATGTGCTGTGATTTATTTGTTGCTTTTTCTGTATAGATTATATTCATGCAGACAGAATGCAGAGAGGTTGGATAAATAAGATGGGTGCAGACTGATGTGACATTAGAGACCCGGTCCTCAAAGAGATCAACAAGATCTTAGAGAATAATTCCATGTAATTGAGGGTTTGGTCTTATTTTCTGCCTTTGTAGATTGTTGTCACTTTGTTTCACTACTTTTCACACAGACAGACACACCCAAGAACCAAAGTAGCTAAATCCAGAAGAAACTTTTGAATAGGCTATTTATCATACTCATGGGATTACTTTACATATACTATTCCAATGACGTCAATGTGTAAGTCTGTACATATGTTTACAGCAGATAGCTCTCATTCACGTGTAATACACATTTTGAATATGGGCTTTTTTTTTTTTTCTTTTTTTCGACGCTCTTATGACCTTGCTCCCACTTTGGCAAACACCACTCCATGAACACAAAGAAATGCTGGCACTTCCTCCCACTTCTGTCACTGCTTTCCTCAAAACATTTACAACGTGGGAAGTGACCTCTGTCCCCCCACACTGACATATAAACACTATTAGCTGTCAGATTCCAGAGTTTGTATCAGGCATTTAAATTTAGCTAAAGCCACTCCTGTTCAAAAGTATTTCCTCTGTCCAGAAATATGTCTAAGAGCAGGAGAGAGGAAGTGGACACAGTCCACCCTCCGAATGTCTGTTTGTAAATATACACCTGAAACATTCCTTAAGCTTGAAATCCCGTCTTGTCCCGTTGAGACCCTCCAAAATAAGTTATTGTTTCCAAGGGGAAGTGTGTGTGTGCGTCACCATGTGTCAATATGGTGGCTTTGTTTTTTCCCGCTGCCAGCCTGCTGCATCCCTGACAAGTCAAGGCAATTTATAGCTCCTGTAGCCTCTCGACTAAATTTAGGTGTCAGGGAGATTAGAAGTACAGTGACCAGAATCTGGAACATAAGAGAGAACAATGATAACAACCAAGGTGTAATAATAAACTAGTAAAGCAAGTCTAGCAAGTCAAGCAAATCTACATGGTAATGTATAGCCTATAAAAGACGGATGCAACCAACGTAGCATCCCCCACTGGTTTCTGTATTTTGCAGGCTCAGCATTATGTTGTAGTTGCGAACGTAATGGTTCTTTTGGAGCCAAGAAACTGTATTTGCACGATAGTGTGCAGTCCAAAATTATCAGCTAATGCAAACAATCGTAGTTAGAAAGTGGGTGTATCCAAATGTCACAACTATAGACGAGGTCCAGATTATTGACTTAAATATATGCAGCTGCATCAAAGAGCAAACCGCTATGCCACATTATCCACAGAAGAAGTTTTTTTTCTTTATCATTTTTGACTCTTTTTGAACATTCTTTGACCTTTGACCCCACCTTTTGTTTTAACCCCAATCACGGTGACAGCAGCAACACCGTAACCTTTGCATCCTGCTGCATGTCACAGATAACCCACACCCCCCCTGAATTTTCACCCTGAGGAAATATTTCTTGTACACTGACAATGTGACTGTTTTTACACACTAGCTTAAACTACTTTTTGTAAAGTTCATCTTACTAGAGTTCTTCTTAGAGATTTGCTGTAGTACGATAACCTCAAGGGTAAAGTACGTGGTTGGGTGGATGGGGCTGTGGAAATGTTACTTTCTTGAACTATCTGACCAGCTGACAGTTCGTTAGCCTGAGATAAAAGTGTTGCTGCCTTGAAAACATGAATTCTCACTCAATTCTCACTGTTCAGGTTTATCTGCTCCCAGATGCCCAATCAGGTTCTTCAGAGCATCAGCATCATTGATACTCCTGGTATCCTGTCTGGAGAGAAACAACGAATCAGCAGGGGTAGGATATCTGTGTGTGTGTCTGTGTGTGTGTGTTGGCTGCCTAAAGGAGGCAACCTACTATCAGTTTGTTGTGTTGTTGCATAATAGCCCTTGACATTCCTTCACTTCCTCATATTGTATTAAGTCAGTGAGCAGCTGACCTCCACAGTTTAATCTTAAGGTAGTTTGTCAATTAGTCTTCTGTTAAAGGAAAAGTCTTTTTTCCCCGTTTTTTTTCTTTGTTTTGACCAAGTCGAGTAAAAATGTATTAGCTTCATGCAACATGAATTTTCTTTTCTTTTCTAGACTGAACGATTAGTCAGTTTTTCTTAAAAAGATTTTGATAAATACTGGCCAGAGTTTTGCACAACCTCAAGACAAACAAGTCTAAATCTCCATCAAACGTTGAGGTCCAGTGTTTTAGAGTAAAATTCCTTTAGAACTTATGGATCTTACCTGCTGATCAATCCTCTAGACAGAGTAACTGCGCTAACATTTAACCTAAAAGGTTCTTGTGAAATACTGTATCTCTCTTTTCTGTCTCACTTCCTTTTTTGTCTCACAGTCTGTTTCCTCTAGTGAATCAGTGCTGCTGATGTGTGTTTATAAATGCAGATCTGAAACCAAAGACACTGATTCGTAGGAAATGAACCCATGGGAGCAGTTACACATCTGAAAAATCTTGACCTGACTCGATATATTTGGTGCCAGGGCTCAAGTGATTGTCAAAAAATATTTTAAGAAATTTCTATTTTTTTTCCTCATTAAAAATGTCTGTTTTCTGTCCTGAATGACAAAAATCATATTATCTATTGGAGAAAATGTGTGACAAGAACCACGTACCAATGACCCTAACAGTGGGAATTTAGTATTAGTTGTATTGGTTATAATTAGTTCAATTTGTTTTATAACCATGTCAAAAGTGCTTCGCAGGACCAAGCATAAAGCATATTCATACATTTTCTATATATCTCTTAAAACTCTGTTTATTAAGTACTGACTGAGTAGGAGTTACCGGTAGTACTGTTTTCTGTTTTGGTTACTTCTAGTTTAGTTTCCCAGGACTAGGTTAGGGGAGAAACCTGAATCCAGGGGCCTGCTGCTGGTTATGGTCTTCTTCCTCTTTTGGTTGTTTTAGCCGGGGCTCCCATTTCTTTTTTTGCTATTTATTCTTTTGTGAGTAACTACACACCCTTTATTAAACGCTTGATAAATTACAGCAGCATTCTGTACTTATGGACTGTAACAGTAAACTGAATGCAAGGTTTGCACTTGTGTAACTGGGCGACTTTATATGCCAGAATTACTAACGTACTGCTTACCATGTATAATATAAAACTGAAGACTCTGGTTTTGTGCTCAGCATACCTCACTAACCCATTACACTTTGTTATGGTTAATTCTGTCGGCTTTCACAACACAAAATCAAAATGAAAGAAAATGGAACAATGTGAATTTTCATTTAACTTCCTTATTTTTAGTTTCAGCAGCGTAAGCAGTCATATTTCAAAATGGACCAACATTGGTCTTCATCTTTTTAAACTGTAAGAAACTGTGTTAACCCCATGTCTTATCGTCTATCTGATACTTTGTTCTTCAACACTCTGGCTTTATTTAGTCTTCTCACAGACCATATGCCTAATCCTGTCTTCACCTGTTTTCATCTCTTTTCTCATGCTCTGTGGATTAAAGGGATGCTATCTACACTTGCCAACAACATCTAACAAAATCTCCTTTGACAGCCAGCCTTTAGATAAATGTTGGTGAAGTTGGCATCAAAAATGACACTCCTTGCTGGAATCATTACCAAATCAACCCTCAATGAACAGATTAAAAAGATTCAGTGTGGCATACAACGGCTTGTAATATCAAACACCTCGTGATGTGAAGACATTCCACCAGCTGATCTAAACATGTTCACTGGGGAGCTCGATATATGATAATGTATTCATTCATTTAAAAAATAAAAAGCAAATCAAATGTGCTGCATTATTCACTACAGGGAAAAAGAAATAAGTACCCAAACCCAACACTGGTCACTGGTACACTGCCAAATAATGGCTAACATGTACAGTCTATGGGAACAATGATATAACAAAAACAGGAGGGTGTTATTGTATAGATATGTATAAAGTTTGCTAGAAATTTGTCCAAACGAAGAACTAAAGATGCAGCCTTCCACAGAATACATGGAGGTTCTTTAATATAAATAATGAATATAATATTTCATTATGCATGTCCTTGATCCCGTCTTCCTTCTCTCTCCTCAACCTGTTGCAGCAGATGGCTCCGCCCCTCCCTGAGTCTGGTTCTCCCGCAGGTTTCTTCCTGATAAAAGGGAGTTTTTCCTTCCCACTGTTGCCAAAGTGCTTGCTCATAGGGTCTCATATGATTGTTGAGTTTTTCTCTGTATGTATTATTGTAGGGTCTACCTTACAATATAAAGCGCCTTGAGTCAACTGTTGTTGTGATATGGCGCTATATAAATAAAACTGAATTGAATAGAATAGAATATTTCATTATATTGAGAAAATATCTGAACTGAGTACTAATATCTATAACAATGATCTAAATTTCTGTGAGCAAAATAATGACAACATGCAATGATTTGTAATAATGAAAAACTTTAAAATTAGTCTGTCATTGGTAAAAAGTACAAAATTGCTTTTATGCTATTAAGTATATCATTCTGCTTTAAGGAAATGAAAGGGTGTCTCTTTTCTGAGTAGATGCTTGTGCTGTACTAAGCTCTACATTTTACATCCCACGGGTATCTTTGCTGAAAGTTTTATATAATAGCAGTGGTATGTTGGGTGGAGAGCCAGAAAGTCACATAGACTCAGACCATATACTGAGCTTTCTAATGCTGTCGTGCTTATAGCACAGGACTGTATGATTCAGTGGGAAACACACCTGCTAATGTTCATAAACGGTCACAAAGGAGTTCCCCAGGGAACCAGCAGGGAGTCCTTTTAAATTGTATGTCCTCAAAGTAGCCCTTTACTTCACAGTTGTATGTATTGTGGCATGCTACATTGTCAGAAATGCCGATGCTAAAGTTGTCCAAAGTACTTGGAGCTCCCAGAGGGAAACCTAGAGGAAGATCCATCTGGTATAAATGAGACATTTTTACAAATCTGGCAAATGAAAGTCAGTAGAGAACAGGAAGGATATGTGATTCTGATTACAGCTGCACTTAAGTTTTGTTGTGGAAGATCATCTGTCAGAATCGAGTGGTTAGAGAGACAGTGAGAGTCAACAACAGTGCGTCCAGATATCAAAAATGTTAAGGAGGTGTGCAAGCCTGAATTACCAAACTTGCAAATAAGGCACCAACTCGACTTTGGAGGCAACAAAAGTTGACATTTAATGTTGTGGGTAGGTAGTCTTTAGTTAGATTGCTTGAATATTTTAACCACATAACCAATATTTCAACCAACATTGTTAAAACAAAGACACACATTAGGGCAACTACATTCTCCTGCTCAGCTGTATATAGTCAGGAATGGTTTATCATAAAATCAGCTTTATGAAAACAATTTTATTAGATGATGGCGTAGATCCACCACTTAACATGTAGTGGATCTAGTAATAGGGATTGCAGCATATAGCAAAAATCTACCAATCTAACTTCGGTGCATTAACTAGACTATGTGTTAATTTTTTATTATCTATATTAGAATATTTTTGTAGAAACAAGTTTCTCCTTTTATTGCAGAATTCCCGATTCCCTTACATTGAGTCAACCTTATGAATGACACCATTACTTGAACAGCTCAGCTGGGCAAATGGAAGGATGGATTCAGCAATGGAGGGATGGTGGATTAAAGGGAGGGAATGAGGGCCACAGGAAGCAGTGGTGGGGCTTTCCCTCCATCTGGAAGCATTTAGGGCTGCTCAGCTGAGCCTGAATTCCTCTTGAAGACTTTTGACAGGCCAACTGTGACTCAACATGAACGCACACAGAGACAGCATCAGCAATAGATTAAACTTCACTGCGCACATGCTGATGGCAAACTGTCATGCCGCTGCTACTGCTCAGGAATGTTTCATCTGATTAAGTTACTTTGAGCAGTTTAAAATGACTGAACAGCTCTTTGTGTGTGTGTGTGTGTGTGTGTGTGTGTGTGTGTGTGTGTGTGTGTGTGTGTGTGTGTGTGTGTGTGTGTGTGTGTGTGTGGGCTGCAGCTGCCTTCCAGCACATTGAACATGTTTTGACCCACTTCAGACCTCCTGCTGTGTAGACATGTGGCCTTTATGTTTTTTTAGTCGGGCTTCATTTAAGATTTGTTTCGGCAACTAAAGCACCTGTATATTAGACATGTATCATAGACATTTCGTATTTGTATACACATTTTATCTTTTCTGAGTTCAACAGTTTGTATCAATAATGCAATTTTTGCTCTGGGTATAAAATAGAAAGTTCCTTTGCTGCACCTAAAAACCAAAAAACTGTAATTGATTCAAGAAAGTCCCCTGTGCATCTCTGTGTCACTAGCAGGGCTTCAGAGGATTACTCTGTGTCAATCTCATTTGACAACTTGAATGTGTGCATATGCATGGATATCAAACTTGTGCAGGTAGCAGCCTTTAATTTGTCAAGCATCATCACTGCTAATGAAAGGTGACTTTCATATTGTGAGGCCTAATTAACATTAATGAAGTTCTGCAGTTTGACTGAGTGCATTTTTATAAAATAACAATGTGTAATAGGATTAGTAAGGAGGAAGAAAGGGCAGGTATGAAGAGAGCGAAGAGTGGAAGGGAATCACTCCACCTGTGGAGGTATAGAGTTGTCTTGAAGAGAGAGCAGATTGGGAAAATTATGGGAAAGAGTTGTAGAAGCTTGGTTGAGGAGAGAAGTTATGATTAGTGAGGACTAGTATGGCTTCATGCTGAGAAAGAGCACTACATATGTGATGTTTTCTTTGGCAGTGTTTATGGAGAAATACAGAGAAGGTTAGAAACAGCTCTGCTGTGGTGCATGTGATGCTGGTGCCAAGAGAGGAAGTGTGGTAC